AGCTCCTTCCATGTCTCCATCTGTTTTACCAATTTCAGTGTAGCTTCTTATTGTATCCTTAGTTACAGGACTTCTGTTCAGCTGGACTTTAGGGAATTCTCAATGATGGTTGTTTTGTAGTTGTAATTTTGATGTGGTCGTGAGACTAGGCAAGCACATCATTTACCTACTCTGCGATTTTGACCAGAACCTAGAAATTATGACTTTTTTAACCAAAGACTTCTGTGGAACTCTGCATTTATTCAAAATCTGTAACTTTGCTGAGAATAGGGCATGTAATATAGAGAATGAGTACAGTATTTACTTGCTTTCTGCTTAATCTAAATGTTATGTTTAAATTCGTGTCAGTGTATTTCCTTGAACATTTCTACAACCCTCTTTATCTCCTTTGCAGTTTCAGGTTCAGTGAGTTCGGAGATTTTGCCTTACAAGGAATATATAATCAGATAAGCCATCGGGAGTCCATTGATTGATCTGTGGAGGCAGTTTAGTAAAGTCTTTTCAGTAAGCTACTATACTGTAGCTCTGACCTCAGTGAGTTAAAGTATAAATCTCATATGCTCTTCATCTTTTAAAAAAGATTTTATTAAAATAATAGCTAACATACAATATTATATTAATTTCAGGTGTACACCATAGTTATTCAACATTTTTTCACCTTCTTCTAAATGTCCCCCAAATGGGAATGTAAGGATACAAATGTAAAGAAAATTCGTAATTATCATACTGTTAATCTTGGTTGCAAAGCTTACATAGAATCTCCTTAAGCATAATACAGTAATACTTGGGCACTCTAGTCTTTCATTCACAAGTGGGGCCCCCATCTTTGGCAAGTGAATTTAGCACCAACATGATTAATCAGACATTCTCAAATTCTTCATTTGCAGATGTTGGATTCCCTAATGTATGTATGCTAGTTAATGAAGTCATCTTTTTAAATTTGGTAAGATATATGTAACAAAATTTGCCATTTTGATAATTTTTAAGTATACAATTTAATGGCATTAATTTCATTCACAATGTTGTGCAGCCCTCACATTATTTCCAAAACTTTTTTATCACCCGAAACAGAAGCTCTAATTCCCTATTCTTTTCCAGCCCTTGGTAACCACTGTTCCACTCTGAATCTGTGAATTTGCCCAATCTTGATATTTTATGTAATGCAATAATAATTATCAGTCCTCGTATATCAGGCTCATTTTGCTTAGCATGTTTTCAAGGTTCATCCATGTTGTAGCTTGTATCCGAATTTCATCTCTAAGCTATTTTTTCTAACCTATTAATTATTCTTGTTCTTATGTTTCATTTGTACTTAACTAATCTATGGGAAACTTTCAATTTCTTTGCTTTTCCTTAAATTAATTTTTATACTTAAAATTAATATCTTTAATAATTTCCCTATTTTTAAAATACCTTTATTTTGGAAAGTCTCAAGTTTATAGAGACGTTGCAAGAACTTTTTTCATATTTTGCTCTTTTTATTTGTTTATATGTAATTGTTATTAATATTGTTATTTGCTAATCATTAGTAAGGTACAGACATTGACTCTTCTCAAATACTTCAGAATGTATATGAAGAAGTACTCAAAATATTACCAATATGATTACCAAATTCAGGACATTTAACATTAAATAACATACCATTATTTAATATGTTGTACATATACAATTTTTTTTTATTTTCCCCAATAATATTCTCTGTAGCAGTTTCTCCTGTAAGCCAGAATCTAGTAAAGGAACATACGTGGTATTTCGATGTCATGTTTCTTTCTTTCTTTTTTCTTTTTAATTTTATTGGGGAGCAGCTGTAGTCATTGGTTACACATTGCTTTCATGGTACAATGGCATAGTTGTCTCTTTTAGGGAGGGCACAGCTCACAGTGTCCCATGCAGGATTCGAACTGGCAACCTTGGTTTTATCAGCACCACACTAACCAACTGAGCTAACTGGTAACCCCCAAGATGTCATGTTTCTTTAGTATTCATTAATCTGGAACAGTCCCACAGCTTTTCTTTGTCTTTCATGACATTGATGCTTTTTTAAGAGCGTAAGCCAGTATTTTTGTTGACTTCTGATTTTGGGTTTATCTGTTTTTTTCACGTTTAGATTCAAGTTACTACATTTTTGGCAGGAATATTGTATGTGATGTGTGTTCCTCTCTGTGCATGTGCATCAACAGGTGCATGTCATCAGTGATGTTAAGTTTGATGAGCCACATTCCTTTGTAACTCAGTAATATGTGGGAAATATTTGAAACTAAATATCCTGCTGAACACACTTTCACCCATTGGGTTTAGCATTGGTTGATGATTCTTGTTTAAATCAACAATTACTGTAGTAGTTCCAAATATTATAGTTTTCTAACTCTCCTGTCATTCTTTCTGCATTTATTTTTTGTTGTAATACTATTTGATAGAAGTATTTCTTACAGAATTGTCCTAAGTGGATTTTATAAACGTCATCTAATATGACTTCATATTCTGCATCTTTCCTTTTTTTTTTTTCAAACTAAGAAAGTGTTCTACATACAGATAAATTGAAAGAATACTAGAGCTGCTATTAGATTCAACAGTGTTAAACAGCCATATTTGCTTTTGTGTTTGTATGTGTGTGTTTACTGCTCTTTCTGAAAGTATGCTGCATATATCATACACTTTATTCCTAGATTCTTCAGCATATATCTTCTAAGAAGGATCCTTCCTATTTAACCACAGTAACATTAGCTCATCTAGGAAAATTAATAATTCCATAATTTCATATAACATCCAGTCCATGTTAAATGTCCCCATGATTTCTTTTTTTTTTTTAACCAGGATCCAATCTGATATATTGTATATTCCTTGTACTTGGTTTCTCTTTAGTCCTGTTAATTTAGAAGAGGTTATTCTCATACTTTTTTGGTCTTAATTAACATTGTTATTTTATGAATTCTCTCATGTATTTGTAAAAGACACAATTTTTCCCTTTGTAATTAGCAAGTAATCTTTCGAGTACTTTTTTGCACCACATGAATATTCTGTTCCCTAGTAACTTTTCACTTAACAGTTTTAGTATCTATTGATGATTCTTGCCTAAATCATTTATTTGTTTGGAGGTTTCAAAACAAAAAATAAAGATTTTTTTTTCTCTTAAATACAAGATAGTATATTCTACAATCTTCTGCAGCCTTATTTTTCATTTAAGGACATTATTCATATAGAAACATTCCCCATTATCTTAAAAGTTTTTCCTTTTTATATAGAGGTATTATTTTGAATAGGCTATACATTCATTCATATAGCACAAATTCAAGAGGTACATAAGGGTATACAGTGAAAGATCTTTCTCCCATAAGGCAGCCACTGATATCAGTTTCTTTTGCTACCATGTATATTCTTCCAGAGATAGTTGATATATGTATATATTCATTCTAGCATTCCTATATAAAGGTAGTTGCTATACATACTGGACTGAGTCTTGAGTTTTTCACTTAACAATATCTCATGGAGATTATTTTTTGTATCATTACATTTTGAATTTCCTTACTTGTTTTTCATAGCTTCATAGTGTTCTGTTGTAAAGATATACTGTAATTTATTTAGCCAATCTTCTTTATATTCTAATATTTTACTTGTAAAAACAGTGCTACAGGGAATAACATATGATGCATCACTTTGTGATAATATATAATTTTGTACATCTACCAAGATAAATTAGCAAAAGAGAAATTGCTCTGTTAAACAGTAGATGCATCTATAAATTTGACAGCAGTTGTTGAATCTCCTTCCAAATCGGCTGTACTAATATACACTCCCACCAGCAGTGTAGGAGAGTGTATGTTATCAAATCACTCAATATTTGTGTTTTAACTTTCATTTTTCTTATTATGGGTGAGGTTGAGCATTTTTTCATGTGCCAAGAACTCATTTGTATTTTTTTTCTGATGTACTTGTTTTTAAATTCTGGATTTTGTGCAGTCACTAAGGATTTAACATTTTTGAGGCTATACTGTACTCTGCAAATATTTTAAAGCAAGACAAAACACAGGATAGAGATTAAGATTATGAACTCTGGATTTAGGTTTATGTCTTTGCCACTTCTTAGCTGTGAGATCTTAGGCAACTGATTTATTCTCTCATTGTCACAGCTTCCTTATCTGCAAAATTGGTAGAACTTTTCGTATGTCTTAAATCTGATAATACATTGAAGACGCTTCACTGTGATTTTATAAAGCATAGTACCTAGCACACAATAAGATCATAGGAATGTTAGCTGTTATTAATATGCATTTGTTCAATAAGTGCTATCCTTACATAAAAATAATATAACTATTTTTTATTAGTAATAGAAATGAAATAAGCTAAAATGTTGTAATTAGGTAACGTGCTGGGAGAATTGTGGGTGATTTGTATCATTTTAAATATTTTCTGGTATCTAACTTTAATGGGAATGTATTTTATAATAGAAAAGTATGATATATGTTATTTTTTTTAGAAAGGGAATGTTTTTTAGGTTTATTGAGATATAATTGACATATAGCATTGTATAAGTTTAAGGCATACAGCATAATGACTTGACATACATAGTATATTGCCAGATGATTACCACAATAAATTTAGTTAACATCTATCACCTCATACAGTTATAAAAACATTTATTTCCTTGTGATGAGAACTTTTAGAGTCTACTCTCTTAGCAACTTTCAAATATACCATACAGCAGTGTTAATTATAAACATCATGTTGTACATTACAGCTCCAGTACTTATTTATATTATAACTGGAAGTTTGTACCAACCCCCTGGCTCTGGTAGCCACAAATATGTTCTCCATTTCTATGTTTCTTTGTTTTAGATTCCACATATATGAGATCGTACAATATTTGTCTTTCTCTATTTGACTTATTTCATTTGATGTAATGCCCTCAAGTTCCATCTGTGTTATTAGAAGTATAGTATACATTATTGCTAAATGATTAACTGTTTTATTAAAATACCCCTTACCTCTTTTTCCCATTATAGACAGAGAGTGCATGGGCCGAAGAATACTCTGAAAAGAAGAAAGGGTCCCACAAGCGTTCAGCATCCTGGGGCAGTACAGATCAACTTAAGGAGGTCAGCAAAATGGTTCTAAGGAAGTGGATGTGGAAGTTTGATCCCATCGTTGGCTATTTCCTTGAAATTCTGGGCAGCAGGAATTAGTCAATTTCCTGTGTGTGTGTGTGTGTGTGTGTGTGTGTGTGTGTGTGTGTGTGTGTAGTTTACTTGAGAAATAGCAACAGAAAAAGTTATGTAGATTGGGTAAAGATTTGAATGGAGAAATGTATGCGTTACTTATCTGATTATGTGTTTGTCTTTTTTTTAAATGAATCTGTACCTGTTATAATATAAATATCTTGTATGAACTAGTAGTGATACAACAAATTCACATTTATTATTTCTGTATATAATGTTATGTTTCTGAAATTCAGTAACCCAGTATAACCAAGTTGATTATGTCCCTATGTGTGATTATCATTTTCTCTGCCTATAATTATGCCATTTTCATTTTACACATAATGTAGAAATAAAACAGAAAAATTTAGTCAAGGAATAATATGGAATATTGATCGAAATTGTATTATATAAAGATTGTATCCATGAATACTGTTCATGGCCTGAATAGATTTTTAAATAATGTTTAATTTTTTTGGAGCTGTTGAAAGGCTAAGTGTTTGATAAAGAAATCTAAATCTAAATAAAATGTGACTTGTAAAGGCAATGAGAGAATAATTATTCTTTTTGAATTCTTTGTGAAAGCTATAATATAATTATTCTAAATGCTGGGAGGCTTGAAGGCTCAGAACAGTGTTGGAACATAATTTTGTTTCTCTTTAAAAGGAATATAAACATACGCTCATGGGTGTATGTACATAAATATAAATTTTTTACAGTAAGTCAGACATTGTGGTATGGTTTAGAAATTCAAAAGATTTATTCAGGGTTAATTTATTAAACAAGGATATGTTTTATGTAGTATAGAAAACTCTCTAATGCACTTGTTATTTTTCCCTTTTTCAGATTGCAAAATTACGCCAGCAATTGCAGAGAAGTAAACACAGCAGTCGGCATCATCGAGATAAAGAAAGACAGTCTCCATTCCATGGCAACCATGCAGCTATTAACCAGTGTCAGGTAGGAGCAGAGATACCACAAAATCGAGACAAGGGATTTGTTGTTTGTTAGTGATTTGTTATACTGTTCAGGACAAGATGTTCAAAAGCATATTTGAAACAATGATTAAATACTGAATCACAGTCTTTATTTAAAAAAAGAAAAGAATATTAAGCTGACAAAATGATATTTTCTTTTGGTGACCTGTGATATGACTTTTAGGAGACATAACTATTTACATATTTTGATTTACCATATTTTTGTCTTTATCAATTTAGTACATTGGAGGCAGAATAATATAGAGATGTAAGTACTGGAACCAGTCCTGGACAAGTAATCTCTTCTTTCTAAGTTTCAGTTTCCTTATCTGAAGATTGAGGATAATAATAATAACCTGTCTCATTAAAGTCTTTTAGTAGGGGGAAAACCTTTAGCTTCTTTTATTCCTTAATGGAACCCTGTGAGCTGCTTTTGATGGCTCACACAGGGAGTATTTCTCTTTAACTGACTAGAAATTGGATGGGGTCCCAAACAAGAGGATATAACCCTTGTAAACATTTATGCACCCAACATAGGAGCACCTAAATACATAAAGTAAATATTGACAGACATAAAGGGAGAGATCTAGAGTAATACAGTGATAGTAGAGGACTTTAATACCCCATTGACATCAATGGACAGATCTTCAAACAGAAAATCAGCAAGGAAACAGTGGCTTTAAATGACATATTTGACTAGATGGCTTTGATATTTTTGGAGTTCATCCCAGAGCAGAAGAATATACATTCTTGACAAGTGCATATGGAATATTTTCCAGGATAGACCACATGTTAGGCCAAAACAAGTCTCAGTAAATTCAAGAAGATTGAAATATAAATGTCTAACCACTATGCTGTAGACATTGTTAAAATGTCCGTACTATCCAAAGCAATCTACAGATTCAGTACAATACCTATCAAAATACCAATGGCATTTTTCACAGAACTAGAACTAATAATCCTAAAATTTCTATGGAACCACATATGACCCTGAATAGCCAAAGCAATACTGAGAAAAAAACAAAGTTGGCTATTAAACTATACTACAAGGATATAGTAATCAAAACGTCATGGTACTGGCATAAAAACAGACACATCGATCAATGGAACAGAATAGACAGCCCAGTAATAAAGCATTGTTGCTTATGGTCAATTAATCTATGACAAAGGAAGCAAAAATATACAATGGTATAAAGACAATCTCTTCCATAAGTGGTATTGGAAAAACTGGACAGATAACATGCAAAAAATGAAACTAGACCACTTTTATACCATATACAGGAATCACCTCAAAGTGGATTAAAGACTTAAATATTGGGTTTTGCAACGAAAAACAGAAAAAATACGTCATGACTTTTCCGACAACCCAATGTAAGACCTGAAACCATTTTAAAACTCTTCGAGGAAAAAGAAGCAGCAAACTCTCTGACGTTGCTCTTAGTAATATATTTTTGGATTTATTTCCTTGGGCAAGGGAAACAAAAGAAATAATAAAGAAATGGGACTACGTCAAACTAAAAAGTGTTTGCACAGGAAAGTAAACTATCAACTAAAGGAAAAGCAACCTACTGAATGGGCGGAGGTATTTACCAATGATACATCTGATAAGGGGTTAACATCCAAAATTTAAAAATAACTCGTTCAACTTAACACCAAAAAACCCCAAACAATCCAATTAAAAAATGGGCAGAGGACCTAAAAACACATTTCTCCGAAGAGGACATACAGGTGACCAATAGACATATGAAAAGATGTTCAAAGTCACTAATCCTCAGAGAAATGCAAATTAAAACCACAAAGAGATAGCACCTTACATCTGTCAGAATGGCTATCATCAGTAAATCAACAAACAAGTGCCAAGAATGTGGAGAAAAGGGAAACTTTTTGTGTTATTGTTGGGATTGCAAGTTGGTGTAGCTGCTATTTGTAATTGCAAACAGTATGGAGGTTCCTCAAAAAATTAAAAATAGAACTACCTTATGGCCGAGTAATTCCACTCCCTCCTGAGTATTTATCTGAAGAAATCGAAACCTCTAATTCGAGGGTTGGCCTAGTGGTGCGTTGATTAGGAACTGGCTTGGGACGCCAGAGGGCGCCGGTTCGGATCCCACATGAGGGCCAGTGACACTGCCCTCTATAGCTAAGACGCTGAAACAACATCTCGACCTGGACCTGGGCTGCCGTGAGTCCCCGGCGACAGCAGGTGGGTTGCCATGGGCTACCGTGTGTAGCCAGCAGCCAGCATGAGCGGCCTTCAAGCCGCCGTGAGTGGCCGTCCAGAAGCCGGTGACTGATGTGCCTCACTCAGGAAGAGTGCAATGATGGTGCCAACTTGGGCCAGTGAAGCAATGTCCTGTACAACTAGACTGAAGAACAAAAAGGATAGCAACTTGTCTGTTCCCCTTCCCTCAATTCCCCAGTAAAAAAAAAACAAACAAAAAAGAAACACTAATTGGAAAAGATGTATGCATCCCTATATTCATTGCAGCATTATTTACAATAGCCAAGATATGAAAGCAACCTAAGCGTTCATTGATAGACAAATGAATAAAGAAGAGCTGGTACATATGCAGTCTGACAATTAAGTTCACGAACTTGTTACAGTGATGTTGCTAACCTATTTTGATGTCAGAGGGATTATTCATTATGAATTTGTACCAACTGGACAAACAGTTAACCAAGTTTACTATTTGGAAGTGCTGAAAAGGCTGTGGGAAAAAGTAAGATGACCTGAACTTTTCACCAACAATTCATGGCTCTTGCATCACAACAGTGCACTAACTCACACAGCACTGTTTGTGAGAGAGTTTTTAGCCAGTAAACAAATAACTGTATTGGAACACTCTCTCTACTCACCTGATCTGGTCCCCAATGACTTCTTTCTTTACCTGAAGATAAAGGAAATACTGAAAGGAAGAGATTTTGATGACATTCAGGACATCAAGAGTAATACAACAACAGGCGTGAAGGCCATTCCAGAAAAAGAGTTCCAAAATTGCTTTGAAGGGTGGACTAGGTTCTGATGTCAGTGCGTAGCTTCCCAAGGGGAGTACTTCGATGGTGACTGTAGTGATATTCAGCAATGAGTTATGTAGCACTTTTTCTAGGATGAATTTGCGAACCTAATTGTCTGACATTATATATACCATGGAATGTAGTCATAAAAAAGAATAAAACCTTATCATTCATGATGACATGGATGGACCTAAAATATATTATGCTAAGTGAAACAATTCAGAGAAAGACCAGTTCCATATGATTGCATTTATTTGTAGAATCTACAAAATAAAATAAATGAGCAAACAAAACAGAAACAAACTCACAGATACAGGGAACAAATTGATGGTCACCAGGTAGGTGGGAGGGGTGCTGGGAGAATGAGTGAAAAGGTGAAAGAATTAAGGAGTATAAATTACCAGTTACAAAAATAGACACAAGGAGGGCTGGCTAAGTGGTGCGATAGTTAAGAGCTGGCTTGGGACACCAGAGGACCCCGGTTTGGATCCCACATATGAGGGCCAGTGACACTGCCCTCTACAGCTAAGATGCTGAACAACAGCTCAACCTGGAGCTGGGCTGCTGGGAGCCGCTGGCGACCGTGTAGGCTTAAGCCTCTGCTGCAGTGGGTTGCCATGGGCTACCGTGTGTAGCCAGCAGCCAGCGTGGGTAGCCAGCAGCCGCCGTGAGCGGCCGTCCAGAAGCCAGCAACTGATCTGCCTCGCCAGGGAAGAGCGCAATGATGGTGCCAACTTGGGCCAGTGAAGCAATGTCCTCCACAACTAGACTGAAGAACAAAAGGACAGCAACTTGTCTGTTCCCCTTCCCCCAATTCCCCAGTGCTGTTCCCATCCCCCCAACTCCCCAATTAAAAAAAATAAATAGATACAAGGATATAAAATACAGCATAGGGAATATAGTCAATAATATGGTATAAACTATGTATGGTGTCATATAGGTACTAGACTTAATGGGATCACTTCTTAAGTTACATAAATGCCTAACTGCTGTACACCTGGAAATAATATAATATTGACTGTCAATTGTAGTTGAAAATACATTTAAGAAAAGAAAATCCCCTAAAAGAAAAAAAAAATTTGATTAGGTCCCTTGGCAAGGTGAGAGCACGGAAAAATTGCCAATCCTCTTTATAGATTGATAGTTTTTGATGATTGCCAAGTATAGGTGAATTGTTTTTAAGAGAAGGTATGGGTAGAAGTATATATTTTTTCAACTAATTTTGTCCTAAAATATTGACACATGGGTCAATTTGTATATTTATAGTCTGGTTGTAATTTCCAATGGCTTTCTTTTTATACAGCATTTTAATTATAAAATATGAATGTACATAAATATATTTTAAAAACCTGAACAAAGTGGATATATATGTAGAGAAACAGAAAATTTAACATTGACAAAATAAGAAGTGAAATATTTGAATATATGAATAACTGTCAAAATTGGGTGCTTGTTAAAAACCCAGTTCCCTCAGTCTCAAAAGACTACAGACCCAGTTGGTTTTACAGGTGAATTTACCAACTTTTGACTCCCTCTCATCCATAAATAATGTATATGTATTTCTAAGAGATAAGGCCGCTTTTTATTCCCAACCCATGTTTTTACTTCGAGTAAGGCTCAAGATGGAAATTTATTGAATTAAGTGATAAGTTTTAAGAGTTTATACGTTTCTGAAGTGATTTTTTTTGAAGTTGCTTTAAAATCAATTAAATTGGTAAAATTATCCAAAATTTTATTTTTCCCCTTGCAAGTTGAATTTTCATAATAAAGATTATCGAAGTTTGCATAAAGTTCATGTTTGTTTAATTCCTAAACATCTCTTTGCAGAGAGGGTAAGGACTAGAAAATAGAGTAAGTTGAAAAATAAATTTATGTAACTTGAGTTTTGTACAAATGACACACCAAACATCATGACTGCTTGAATTATTTTATTGAGTGTTAATAGCCAACCAGTGATCAGGCACATGT